GCCTGCAACCCCTCAAAAACCCCAGCCGGCATGCACCTAAACAAACAAAAAGATGCTGGAAACGTTTGGTTGCCTACTCAACTTCGCAGTCTATAATACTTCCCGGATTTGACTCCCGAAGTGCATGACAGTAACACGGAAGTTGTGAGAAACTGTCTCTACCTCAACCATTAACTGCCCTTATCGCATTCTCCTTGCCACGCCATGCTTTATGATATTTCACGTCAATCCCATAATCTGTTTGGATATGCTCCCGGATGTTGGATGCCTTATACGCTGGCATAGAGAGTATCTTATCTTTGTAGACTTCAGAAATCTAGTTCGCATCGGCTGCTGGATGATATCTTGATTGCAATAGACTCAGAGTACATATGTGATGTAAATTGCACTTACGAATGCTGAATGACGCATCACGAGCATGGAAGGATGCATAAATACGCCAACCATAGCCTTTGTCGATGCACAATAATTTTGCTCGAATCATTCTTTTGGTACTTGAAGTGTTTATGAGTGGCAATAGAATAATTCTTCAATAACTTTCTAAACTCCTGCGGTCCCTTGAATGTCTGACCTTCCCCGACAATCCATCTCTACATTGCAATTAGACTAGTACTTTCATTGGGAATAAAGATACCACTTGCGCCATCTTCTTTCAATCCCGAACATTCGGCCTCACCCCTGCATTACAAATACAATAATAAGAATAAAAATTCTGTCATATGTAAGTAGTTCTAATTTTATATGGTAATAGATCTTTTCTTCGTAAATAAAAAAACATGGGTACCCATCTTACTCAACAGAGTATGTCCATGGTTTCTACGGTTACCTACCGTGTCATCCAGGGTATTTAAAAGAACAACTGCATCTATTCACCGCAGTAGGCTACGTGATGCAGTAAATGCCACGGGCTACGCGAAATTTCAACGCATCGATCATGGTACACCTACCTAAACCGGATTGCTAGAGGATATTGACAGTGACGTGTAAAGAATGAGTGAAAATCGTTAAATACCTTCAAGACGTTATATCCCCACTACATATCTTTACAATCTCTTCGTGGTTCGTTCTGCACCGCGCTACTACACAATCGCGGAGGTGGATACTTACTACCTACAAACAACATCGCAACGATATACCACGGTATTGTTGTATGCCAATATCATGAAAGAATTATTACTAACGTAACCTATAAACATGTTTTTAGATGTGTTGAACATGACATTATAAGTGCTTACAGACTGCATTATAAGTGCTTACAGACTGCATTCTTTCATAAGGCACAATTGTGTGAGCATTCTATAACAAAGTTGAATAAAGACTACTTAATTACAAATGATGAGTAACGTACATGCGTCCAACCGTGCTTCGGAGAGGCATGCTCCGGTGCTCGCTTCTACACCGTGCAATCATATCCACAAACATTACCTTTAACAAGATATGCATTCTCCACATATTGGCGACATCATCGTCACATAATAACGTCATGTAGCTTTTCTGAATAAGTGCAATATATTGGAGTTTTACCGCCTCAACACTCACCTTATTCCATCTTTTTGATAGATTCCGGTAAAGATCCTCGAGCGTGGTGCCCTCTTCTAAACCAATTACATGATGCTCACCTTCGTACGAACATATAATTAATAATTTCAAACTACTTTTTCTCTGTGTCCATCGGAACCTAACGATCAAACCAATGTATGTATGAATTATATTATGTCATATCGGCGATTCGACAATCTTACACATAATAGACTAAAATCATATGTTAACCTAGAATTCTAGTGATTACTGATTCTCAAATAACAATAAATTACCCAATTCACAAATATAACATTTACAAACTAGTTACCAACAAAATTTTCTATCAAAATCACCAAAAAAATTAATTATCAAAATCACCAAAAAATTACCCACTACACAAATCTCATACTTCATGTATAAATTTCTACTAGTTCAACAAGCATCAACATTTTCCACAAAACCCTAAAAATAACAATTTTCTTACTAATCCAAATGTTATTGAAGTGCGCAACCTTGGATGACGGTCCTTGAAAATTCTCCCACCGAAGCGTGACCTCGGACGACGGTCTGAGAAGCTTCTCCCACCAAAGCGCGCGACCTCACACGACATCAAACTGGGTGTACAGAGGGAGGACGGATAGCTAAGTAGACGGAATATCGGAGAAAGAACAGCGAACCGTCCGTGGGAAGAAGGGGAGAGAGTTTTTCACACCGGAAACTGGGCGAAGAAAAGTTGATTCCGACCATATGAGAGAGGATTCAACGGACGAGAAAATTTTCAGTGCGAATAAAACTGTCTGGAAGGAAAGGAGAAGAAGAATCGAGGAAATAGGGGAAGAAAGAAAGAAAAATAATAACCGGGGAGTGCATACAAAGAATTTATCCATAGGGACTGAATCTCAATTGATAAATGGACAGAGAGATTTATCCCCAATTGTCCGTTTTAAAAATCCAATAAAATACCCCTATAAAATAAATGTGAAATAACACGTCTATCATATTATACATGCAGGTAATCATGAAACAGCGCACAGTGAGAAAACAGCACCATGATATGACTGCAGTTGCTGTCACCACAATTACTCTCCTTTCTCTCCCTCTCCGAGTAAAAACAACCTAATTTTTTAATTTTTTCCAAATTTAATATATTAAATAAAATTACTATTTTTTAGATTATATTAAAAAATAATTTTACATTAAACTTATGACGTTAATATATATTTATATAATATAAATAAATAATTTAAATTTTAAAAAATATTAATATTCAAATTTTAAACATTCAACCAAACATTTTGTTAGTATTAATTTGCATAATTTTCTTCTTAAAAATATCAAATTAAATTTTTTTATATTTTTATATTATATTAAAAAAATATTTTTATATCAAAATATCATATCAATGCATATTCATGTTAATAATTATTCAAATTGAAAAATTCTACTATCAATACTCAAACTAAAATTCTAACCCCAACCAAACACATTGTTAAGTTTATTTACTGTATTTTTTCTTCAAAATTATCAAATCAAATTCTTATTTTTTTATTTATTATATCATGTTACTAAAAATCAATTTTGTATAAAAAAATATCACATAAATAGCTATTTATATAATATAAAAAATATATTTAAATTTACTATTCAAAATTCAAATTCAAAACTTAAATATTCAACACACCATTTGATTTTATTTTATTTATTTATTTTAAAAAATATCAAATTAAACTCTTATTTTTTTTATTTTTATATTTGTTGATGCAATTTTTCAACAAAACAAAGTATAATTCGACAATAATATCGAACTTGAATAAAACTTTATTTGTAGCATAAAGCAGTAAAATACATGAAAAATAGAAGATGACCCCCAAAAGAAATTTGCAAACAAGTTGAGTTTTTCTGAGATTTGAAGATAATTTCTAAAATAAACCTAAATCCTTAAATACTCATTAAAGAAAATGGTTGAAACCGTTATCTGAACGGTTACAGCGACCATTCTCAATCGCCCACCAATTCCTCCTCCAATGATACGTGTTTTAAATGTTTCACCAACCGCTCCCACCAAAAGAACTCAACTGACTCGATCGACCACCTCTGGGCACTTTACCTCTTTAAATGGACGGCTAGTCTTGAACGACTACTCAATTGCCCATTCGAGCAACCACCATTTAGTCCCCTCTAATGGCTGAACAACCATCCGTTCAGACGATTCATCGGTCGCCCCATTTTCTCTTGTCTGACCTCCGTATCACCCGTCTTACTTCGCCCGACCTCATTTGGCCCGACCTCCGTATCGGCCGTCTTACTTCGCCCGACCTCATTTGGCCCGACCCCCGTATCGGCCGTCTTACTTCGCTTGACCTCATTTGGCCCGACCTCCATATCGGCCGTCTTACTTCGCCCGACCTCTATATTGGCCGTATTCCTTTGCCCGACCTCGTTTGGCCCGACCTCTGTATCGGCCGTCTTCTTTTGCCCGACCTCATTTGGTCCGACTACGGGCCAACCGATCGGATCAAGTGACCGCCTCTTGGTCGCCTTATCTTCTTAGATGGACGGCTAGTCCAACCGACTACCCTGAGAAACCCCTTAATCAACTGTCGGGCCCAACGACGGGCCTACATCTCCTCCTATCTTGGGACTTCCAACTTGCCCGCCGCCATCGGACTTCCAAACGCCACTCCTTGATCGCCGCATGACAAGAAGTTTGGAAGTTCGCAACCTATGTTGAAATCATGACCCCACTCTTAAAAACCTCTCCTTCAACTTTGCTAAATTCACGTATCCATTAACGCACAATTTCTTCCACAAAACCTCTCATCTTCTTTACTGGTTTTTCTCTGTTTCTCTGCAACTCAAGGTCATGGCGAACCAATACGTCCCTGCACTCCCTTTTGACGGAACCGTCCCAGAAGTATCATTTGTTGCTACGAAAGTACTAACTCCTACCATCCACCCATACTGTACGACCCCTGAAGACTCCAACCGGATGAGGGAGGTATTGGAAGCAGGAAATCCCCTCGCTGTCAATAATCCCAACTACAATGTCATCCATCTCCATGACAGTATCAAAACACATCTGACGGACCCTAAAGACCCCTTCCGCACCTGGTATAATAGGGTGGCGGAGCATTTTCAAGACCAGTGGAAACGCCAACAAATCGACCATGCGATATTCCTATTGACTTTCCCATTTCACTTGCACAAAAAAGTGCTTCTGGCGATGTTGGTGTTTTGGCACTCAGAGATGGGTATCTTCTTCCTGCTGACGGGCCCCATTGGCCCAATTCTCATGGATGTGGCCATGATTGCCCATCTTCCCATCATGGGTGAGGACCCTGTGATGGGAGCCCTAGATAGGCAAAAGCCAGATGCGGCCTGTTTGGGCTGGTCTTTAGCCGGCGTTAAAGAATGGGGCTGAACCAAATTTTCGACCGACCAACAAGGGGCAGCCGGGACTCCTGTGACCGACCGCGAACATGTCGCCTTCCTTCTCTTCTGGCTCTGTAGGTATGTCATAGTCTCCCCTTCCAAATGTGTCATTCCTTCCCATCTCGACCTAGCTATCCATATAGCTTCAGGTCGTTTCTTTTCTCTTGGCACTCTCTTCCTTGCCAATCTTTTTGAAGGTCTATCTAGGTTTAGTACCCGCCTTATAGATAGTGATAGCAAAAAATTAGATACCGCTGCGTCGGGCCCTTTTTGGTTTCTGGAACTTTGGTTCTGTCTCTATTTCCCCGGCGTGTACCAACTTGGCCGTCCTCTTATTACTCCAACCCTCGAAAAATCCTTAGGATTAGCCCTCAACCGACTTTGTTTAGGTCACAACAACCTCCAATCATCCGACCCCATCATTACTGCTATCTTAACCGACAACTGCAGCAACTCTTGTTTTTACGTATATAGGAAATATGCTTGCTACGCGTCTGGTCTTTTTTGGCCTTTTCCTGTGTCTTCACCCATAGCTGAACCTGACCCTCTTCCTCATCCAACTTACTCTTTCTCCTGGGATTCTGCCCTTGAACCCAGGTCTTTATTTGTTAGTAAGAAATTTGATAAGAAGGGCCATAAATCATTCTATACTTTCAGTTATCAGCCTCAATTTTTGGCATGCCAATTCGGTTGCCACCAAGGCTTACCTGGCCCCATCGCCCGTCCTCACCTAATACCTCAAAGCCCGGACGGGCGGGTCATCCCTGAGTTGATTTCTCCTTATATTCCCAACTTACCAACTACATAAGTTCCAATTCTTACATTCCCTTCCATTCTTCTCCCGACTCTGTCGAGTCCTTCCGTGAATGGTGGTCGGTCACTTGAGCCCTAATTGCCCCTGAAAAAGATCAGTTGTTGGGTGTTCTCCTGCCCCAGCCTGCCTTGGTGTCAGGGGCGGCTCAATCGATTAGCACCCGAAGAAAAGTAGCCGCCCCGAGTACCAGGTCAAGCGCCCCAAAAAGAAAAAGGAAAGCTTCCCAGATCTAGACAGTCCCGACCCCTGGAACAGACCAACAGGCTTCAAAAGACTTCTCATCAGGTCGGGTGCCAGTAAAGACCCAACCCCGTTTAGGTACGTTCCATAAGTCCTGACTTATTCTAATATTTCCGTAACTTTCTAACTTATCACTCTTACTATCAGGCCCGACCTCGGCAAAACCGACTGTCCAACCTACTCCAACCTCGGCCAAACCACCACCAATGATTAGTCAGGAGGTAGACCCGACTAAGAGGCAGTCCCCTCCTTCTCAGCCGATGATTGGTCGGAAAGAGGCCCCAACCAAGAGACAATCCTTGCCAACATCGCTAAAAGACCCGGTAAGCTTCCTTAACAGCCGATTTTCACCACTTCAAAACTCATATTGGAAATAAATATTTAACATATTTATTGCAGAAGCCTTCAACATCTAAACCAGCGGCAGCAAGGGTCTCATCTGATAATGAGGCGACTGCTTCGCAAATGGGCAGATTGCCATATGTGGCTTCAGACTCGTCTATCCTTAACGAGGAGCCAATTGCACCGCCTGCATCCGCCTCTGCTGCGGTCGCCTCTGTTGCAATCGCTTCTGCTGCGGCCGCCTCTATTGCAGCCGCCCCCAACGCGGCCGCTCCAATTGACAGAGATGTCTTAGGTGCGGCCGTCCAAGTTGCACCCGATGTACCAACTGCGGCCGCCCCAGGTGCAGCCGACCCGAGAGCAGCAGACCCTGTTCCAGAAGCGGCCAGACGGGAAGAAGAACCTGCAGCCGCCCAACCAAGAGGTCTCTTGCACGAACTAGAAGAGATTTCTTCTTCTGATTCGGAGACCTCTGTCAACCTGGTAAAATCTTCAAACTCCCTTTTCCTTACTAAGAGCCAACTTTCAACCCATATTAAATACTTTATATCTCAACTTATAGGGACCCAGGTCAGCACCGCAGCGACCATTCGCAGCAGCCGAAGAGTCAGCCGTTGCGGCACCAGCTGCCCGTGTTCCCCGACCAACGACACTCCTTTCACCCTCCGTGACCATGGTCCACCCGGAAGTAAGTAAAGTTCCCACAAATAATTCTTAATATTTTTCTCCATGAGACCTAATTAATAAAATTACTCATTTCAGGGACATCTTGATCTAGCCCCTCTGTCGGCCATTCCGATTTTCCGGCGGACATTCAGGCCATATTCGCTCAGGCTGTCAACCGACCTTTCCCCGACTTAGGGTCAGACTTCTTAGACAGTCTCCTCCAGGCGATTGGTGGCCTTCTATTTCAAATTCATTCATAATCGGCAGCCGCCCCATTCTGCATCGGCTGATGGAGAGATTAGCCGAACTCCGAAACGACATCTTACTCGCCCGACTCCTGTCAGCCGAACCATCCCAACCCAGTTCGGATCAAATAAGTCCGGAGGCTTCCTTGGCTAAAACCAGGGAATCACTTCAACAAGCTGCTGGAAGGCTGGACGAACTCCTCAGTGCCAGAAGAAAGAGGCAAAATGGAGGGCGCTTCGTCAAGAACAATCTGTCCTTGAGGGCCACGTGGCCTACGAACAGCGCCTAATTAAGCGATATAAGAAAAATGAGTCCAGCTTGGACCAAGAATTAAAGATTCAAACCCGATCTCAATTTATCAGACAATATCATGCGGCTGTTAATAACCGACGGCTGTCCGTGACCGAAGACAAATGGTCCCAGATTAAAATTGCCTTGGGGGCCTTTCTGTAAAATAATGGTACATTCACCCCTGCTGTAGCATTTGATGCCTGTCTCGGTTCGGTTAGCAAAGCATTCTATTCTAAAAGCTTGTTTCTCCTATCTACAAGGATCACTTTCCAAACTCCGAATCTCCATGGAACAAATAAAACTCATTTCTTTTATAAACATCCTTGTCCCCTTGTAAAAAAATAAGCACCCGTCCAGAAACAATTTGAACTTTGAGCATACCTGAAGTATTTATTAAAATGTCATACAAACGTCCCCATGTTTCTGCGAGCAATTGGGAAGGTGCTATCCAACCCTTCTTTGTGGGTAATCATCCTGTTGGAGGCCATGCTGAAGACTTGTTACACATACTCAAACAACTGGATTTCAAATTCAGATTCTCCCACCGAGGCAGAAAAACCATTCATCGTGTTATTCACTGATGGAAAACGTGCTTGAAGGATATGAGACTCTTCATGATATCCTAAGTCACCTTCCTGATATCGATCACCATATGGATTTGATAGAACACCATGTAGCAGCCATACTTCCAGACCTTGGCTGGGATAACATATTTTCCAATCAGCGCACAATCTTTTCGAGACTACGCACTCTTGTTGATCGTGAGCTTAAAGCCATAACAGATATGAAGGCTCGTACAAATCATGATTTAGAGAAGATGCAAGATCAATGGGAAATGTACCGACCTGATTTAGAAGACCTCATCGATGAAGAACCATAATTAATTTCTAATCATTGGGATGAAGATTATGACTCAGAGGAAAGAAGTCCTCTGCACGCACTAATATCTGATAATGAGTGAACCCTTTTTGGGTCCGAACCCCCTCTGTTTGGGTTCTGAATAAAACTTCTTATTCATGCATTTCGTTTATCTGAAAAGGCAGGATAATACCTTTTCAAATATCTAGCATTAATACAATCATGTACCCTTTTACCTTCTTGATTTATTATAATAAAGACACCATTTCCAATCTCCCTTTGAATAATAAATGGCTCTTCCCAATTTGGGGACCACTTCCCTAATTGATCAATCTTCTTGTATGTAGGAATGATAGTTTTCCAAATCAAATCTTCTTCTTGCAAAGTCTTATAAAGGACTCTCTTTCCACAAGTCTTTGCCCTGATTTCACTATGTTTCACAATTTGATCGATTGCATGGAGTCGGTTAACATCCAAACTTTCCAACTGCTGCAACATAACTTGTTGATATTCTTCAGTAAACTCATCAATAGTAAAACTTGTACATCCAGATGATACTTGAATTTCGGCTGGTAACACAACATCTTGTCCAAAAGTGAGTTGATACGATGAGAACCCCGTGGCAGAACTTCTGCTATTTCTGTGTGCCCATAAAGCCTGATGTAGCAACAAATGCCACCTTCTTGGGTTCCCCTCAACCATCTTCTTTACAATTCCAATAATAATCTTATTGGCTGCCTCTCCTTGTCCATTAGCTTGGGGGTAATAAGGCGAAGAATGGTTTAGCCGAATACCAAACTCTACCAAGAAGCTTAGAAATTTCTCCCCAGTAAAAACCAAACCTTGGTCGGTGGTTATAGAATGAGGAATACCATACCTATAAATGATCTGATTCAGCACAAAATCTATCACCTCCTTTTGATCCACATTTTTCAAAGCAACCGCCTCGACCCATTTGGTGAAATAGTCTGTTGCAACCAAGATAAAACAATGATGTTTGGATGAAGGAGGATGTATTTTACCAATGATGTCCATAGCCCAAGACTTGAAAGGCCATGGTTTTACCATAGCTTGCAATACAGTGACTGGCAAGTGATTCAACTGTCCATGCTTCTGACATTCTTGGCAGCCTTTGGCGAATTGTATACAATCTTCGAAAATCTTTGGCCAAAAGAAACCCAAACGATGAATAGCCCATCTCATATTCAAACCTGCTCGATAAGCTCCGCAAATCCCACTGTGTACTTCTGTCATGACTTCCAAAGCCTGTTTAGACCCTAAACATTTTAAAAGCAATCATTCAAAAGTCCTTTTATATAAGACTCTTTCTATCAACTGGAATCGTAGAGCCTTTAACCGTATTCCTATCAGCACATTAGCTCCTGAATTTTTTTATAGCAACCGACACACAATATCCCTGCATCTGCGTAGATGAGGATAATTGCAAACATATTGCTTGGTCACATGATTGATTACCAATTGAGAATCTCCCCTTATAATCACCGACTGAACATTCCTGGCTATTAAGGCTTTCAATCCCAAGATTAAAGCCTCATATTCTGTCAAATTATGGGTCATGGCTTCTAATTGCAGCTGTAATATTATCTTTTGGCCATCTGGTCCTTTCAATAAAACCCTTGCACCTGATCTGTTTTCAGAAGTAGAACTATAAAAAAACATTAACCAATTTCGGGTACTTACATAAGATATGCATACGGTCTGCTCCTGATTATACCCCGAAAAGTCTGCCAAAAAATATGCTATTGCTTGGCCTTTGACCGTCTTCAAAGGAGAATGTCGTAAATCAAAAGGAGCCAATTTAATGGCTTATTTTATAAGTCTGCCTTGCATGGTAGGTCTTTGCAAAATTAATTTGATAAGATCTACCTTTGAGATAACCTCTATTCTCCTATGCAGCATATAGTGCTCCAGTTTGGTGCATGCAAAACACCAATGCGTAACATATTTTTTCTGGCATAGTGTAATTTAATTCTGGTCATGTGAGGGTCTTACTCAAATAATAAATTACCCTTTCCTTTCCATCATCACCATCGTGTGCTAATAAGCAACTGACCACTTCATGTGTATTTGCCAAATAAAGTTTGAGGGGCCGACCTTCTTTGGGGGGCATTAACACAGGCGGTTGAGTCAAAGCTTGCTTTATAGCTTCTAAAGCTGTCTGCTGATCTGGCCCCCAATCGAAAGTATTCCCTCCAGATGACCTTTCTTGCAGCATTATAAATGAACCTCCTTAGATAATTCACCTTGCCCAAAAGACTTTGTACTTCCTTAACCGTTTTGAGAGGTTGGGTGGAAAGAATTGCTTTGGCTTTATTGACATCGATCTCAATCCCCCTTTCATGTACTAAAAATCCTAAGAAACTTCCAGCTGATATACCGAAAGCACATTTAGTTGGATTCATTTTCAACGTGTACCTCTTCATTCGTTCGAAGGCATCTTTCAAGTCTTTCAAATGTTCCTCGAAACTGGAAGATTTGACAATAACATCATCAATATATATCTCCATAGACTTGCCAATAAGATCATGAAAAATTGAATTCATGGCTCTTTGATAAGTTGCCTCTGCATTCTTTAAACCGAATGGCATGACTGTCCATTCGTAAATACCCAAAGCCCCTGGACACCTGGATGTTGTCTTATGAATGTCTTCTTCTGCCAAAAAGATTTGGTTTTTATCATGCATAACCATCCATCAGCCTGAGGATTTTATGTCCTGCTGCGGAATCATTCAGCATGTCGGCCATAGGCATCACATATTCGTCTTTAGGGGTGGCTATATTAAGGTCCCTGAAATCAATACATATCCTGATCTTACCATTCTTTTTAACCACTAGTACAATATTTGCCAACCATTCTGCATATCGGCAAGGCCGAATGAAACCCACTTTGAGAAGTTTCTGGATTTCCTTTTTGATTTGAGGCATCAAATCAGGACTCATACGCCTTGGGGGTTGTTTGTAAGGTTTAAAACCTTCTCTAATAGGCAACAAATGCTCTATCAGACTTCATTCCAGACCAGGCATTTCTGAATAATCCCAAGCTAAACAATCAATATTATTTTTGATAACTTCAAGCATCTTTACCTGCTGCTCCTCAGACAAATAACCACTTATCTTTATTATTTTTGGAACCAAGTCGGTTCCTAAATTAAATTCCAACAAATGGTCTTGTGCTGAAAAGACTGGTTCTGTCTTCTCCAATAAGTCGGGCCAACGAAATTGTTCATCTTTTTGGAAATGAACATCATAAATCTTTTTAAATTTTTCTGCTTTTTCCAAAAGCTAATTTAAATAAAACTGATTAATAAGTAAACTACAATCTTCTAAATTTGTACTATCCATAAAAGATATATTATAAAATAGGTTTGGCTTTCTCATGAGCCATACAATAAAGTTGTTCTTTTTAGAAGAACATTGAATTCTGGCTAGTGAATCTATAACCCTTCTTTGGGTATTCACTAGCCATAAACACCTGAGACATTGGGGGTAAGTGACTAGAATAAAAAATTGATTCTTCAACTTTCTCTGATGCACCGAAAGGGTTGTCATTCTTTTCCATTTGTAAACCTGATTGCCCTCCCAGAACATTAATTGTTGATGTAGTGTTAATGGTACACATTGAGATGCATGAATCCAGTCTCGCCCAAGTAGGACTGAATATGTAGTGTCTGAGTCCACTACAAAGAACACGGAAGAAATCTTCTTTGGTCAGACTTCAATTGGAGCGACCATCATACCTTATGGTCTGGTCGGCTGCCCTGTAAAACTTGTCATCTCAAAGTCCACTGGAGATAAATCGTGAATTCCTTTCCCTAACTTCTTGAGAGTCTTTAATGGCATAACATTGATGACGGCTCCATTGTCTATAAAAACCTTTGTGATTGGTTTCCCGCAAATGTGCGCATTAACATACAGAGGTTTTAAGTGGGATGCCGTGCCTTCTGGAATGGGAGGGAAGACTATCGGAGGAACCTCTGATTGAAAATCAGGATTTGAAATCTTTGCCCATTCTGGTTCTTCTATAATATCATCCACCAGACTTGCCCATAGGGGTTCTTCTTCAATTCAATGAATTCCTGTCATTTGGCAGGGGACCCGTGGACCCAACCGAGATTTGAC